ACAAGGGGCAATATTTGTTTGTGAAAAGTGATGCTCGGTCATAGATACTCATTCGGATCAAAAGGGGAGGGAAAACTCAGCCAAGAATTCTTATAGTCTTTGGGGGGAGGAGGGCGGCATCGGCTGCAGCAAGCCGGCGAGATCTCGGCGAGGTCTGCTCTGCGTCTCCCCCAAATCTCGCGCGCTCTCCCCGCCGCCTGCAGGATGGCGAGGTCGGGCGAGATCTCGACCGCCGGGTCGCACGGCCGCGGCTCGCCCTCGTCGCCGCACTGGCTGAAAGCGTGGTCGCCGTATGCGGCCGCGGCGATGGCGAAGGCAACGCCTGGGGTCGGGCACGAGTGTTGAGTGTTGCGAGCAGGTGTGTGTGTGTGTGTGTGTGTGTGTGTGTGTGTGTGTGTGTGTGTGTGTGTGTGTGTGTGCGTGTGTGTGTGTGTGTGTGTGTGTGTGTGTGTGCGTGTGTGTGTGTGTGTGTGTGTGTGTGTGTGTGTTGGGGGGAGTGGGCATCTGAGGCGTAGCGGGGCCGGGAGGAAACGGCGGGGCTCTCGGCTAGATCTCGCCGCCGCGCAAGCCGGAGAACCAGACGACGAACGCGTGCGCGGTGGAGAGGAGGGAACGCTGCGCCGCCTCGAGGTACGAGGTCGCCTGGTGTTGAGCGTCTGACTCTAATACCGCACCTCCAGAGTGCCGAACCCAGTGTGGGTTCAGTCCCGTGGGTGGTGTGGTAGGCTCGCCCGGTGTTGAGCGTCGGACTCGGCCGCCGCGACGAGCTCGCGCGCAGTGCGGCGCGCGCTGCGCATCCGCAGCGCGTTTGTGAGAGGCAGCAGCAGGAAGGCGTGCAGCCGCCTAGTACCGCACCTCCAGAGTACCGAACCCACTGTGGGGTCACAGCAGCAAGAAGGGCGTGCAGCCGCCCGACGAAGCACGCGAGCATCGTCACCAGGGCGAGCCGCCACACGGTCCCCCCTGCGGGTGTGAGGAGACCGAGGTGCAGACCGAGGTCAGGGCCTTCGAGGCCCGGGCGTGAGGTCTCGTCTCCCGGCGTGCGTCAGGACACGGGCTACGAGGCGCCGCTCGACTGCGGCCGACGCCTCTCTGGCGCAGCGGAGTGCGGGCCGGGTCTGGCAGTGCGTGTCACTCCGCATCTGCTCAGCGATCGCCTGCGGGCGACTGCTGCCCGCCCGAGAGGATCGGGAAGGTGAAGAAGGCCATGCCTGTGGGACGTGTCTCGGACGTGTCTCGGACGTGCCGCCGGACATGCTCGGAGGCGGGGGCGGGGGCCGAGCCGAGGTAGTTGAAGACGAAAGCCTCGGCGATGGCGGCGAGTGTCTCGAAGAGCTCCGTGGTGAGGGTGCGCGCATGCATAGACAGGTTTGGCCGCGCGTACGTGGCCTACGTGGTGACCAACATGAGGGCGGGAGTACGGATCTGTGTGCACAAGAGTCTTCAGAGCACTGTGTGAATACGAGGGAGGCGAGTACAGTGAGCACAGCGGACTACGGCCGACTACAGCTGGACACGTGTGTCCTCTCGAGCGCTAGTTGGATTACGCGAATACGTAATTGAGGCTTCTAGCTGATCTGTGCGTCCAGCAGTCCGGACCCAGTGATACGGCCGGTGACGCCTCGTGTCGGCTCCCCAAGCCAATCGTGTGCAGCGTGTGTGTGCGTGTGGGCCCGTCCTCCATGCTAGGAGGTGTGTAACACTGACTGGCTGACTGTCGTCCGCTTCTAGCAGCCGGTTGCCATCGCGATGCCACAGAACAGGATCGCGACGATGCCCGACAGCTCGAGCGCCTCTGCCGCGTAGTAGCACGACCATGGGAAGGCGAAGCAGAGGGCGGCCTCGAGCGGAACCTTGTCGTCCACGCGGGCAAGCCCGAGCCCCTTGAAGAGAAGGGCCGACAGCGTGCCTACCACACCACCCACACGACTGAACCCACACTGGGTTCGGTACTCTGGAGGTGCGGTACTAGGCCGGCCACGTTGAAGATGAGCGCGCGCGTCACGATCCCGACTGTTCACAGTTGGGGAGAGAGAGTCGTCTCTAACGGGCCGCGCCTCCGAGCGAGCCGATTAGCATCGAGCCGAGGAAGATCGAGCAGAAGACGGTAGCGGCTTGCAGGCAGGTCAGTAGGGAGATGTCGGCGTCAGGAGTGTTAAAGGAGAGGATGGTGCGAGCGAGGACAATGGCGACGGCGTCGTTGAGCACGCTCTCGCCAAAGATGACCGCAAAGATGTCGTCGCGCACGCCGATCACCTGCGAGGAGATGACCCGAGATGACCCGAGATGACCCGAGATGACCCGAGATGACCCGAGATGTGCTGTCCAGCGCTCTCCGCCGCCCTCTACCCGGCCCTCTCCGGCACTCCCCAGCACCCTCCGGCTCGCCGGAGCCTGCTCTCTGCCGTGCGGATGGCGCAAGGCCGCAGGGAGTGTGGTTGGATGGCGCTAGGAAGTGTCTCTCCGCCTTGAAGATGGCCAGCACCGTCACCGGATCGGTGGCGGAGATGAGAGAGCCGAAGAAGAACGAGGCGAGGAGAGAGAGGCGGTAGGCGAGGCCCAGCTGCCCCGCGAGGTAGACGCACGCCCCGACCACCGCCGCAGACAGCACCGTCCCTCCGAACGCGAGGAGCATCGTCGGTCCGAGGTTGTCGAAAAAGGCGGGCACATTCATGTTGTAGCCGGCGGCAAAGATGATCGGCGGCAGCAGCCAGACCATGAAGAACTCGTCGTCAAACGACTCGTCCTCCGCCATCGTCTGCGACTCGAACATCTCGGAGAGCCCTCCGGCGGCGACACCGACGAGGAGGCCGATGACCGCCTCCGGGATGCGGAAGATACCTCGCCGCTTGAGCAGCTCGCCACTGACCATCGTCGCAGCTATGCCCAAGATGCCGAGCGTCACCGTCCATCGGTGCGTCGCCTCCTCACTGCTCTCTGGCTTGAGGTCGATCTCCTGCAAAAGGAGCGAGCGCGGAGGTCAGCGGCGGCGCATGCGGCTTGGTGGGCGCGGTGCGCAGCTCGCCTGCTCTGGATCGTGGCCAGCGAAAGCGCACGGCGGGGGAGCGGTCGGCGCCCAGCCGAGTGAGTCAGCGTTGGGCATTCTCTCGAGGTGTGGCCACCCTGCGGTGGCGTACCGCGCTGCTTTCAAAAGATTTTTTTTTGCGCTCTGAGAGGAGGCCCGCAGTGGGAGGCAGCTGCTCCGGGCCGAGGTGGCCGTTCTCAAACGCGTTCTTCCAGTGGGTGAAATAGTGCGCGACGAGTCTGGCGAGGTCACGTCGGGCAGGGACTGCAGGAGGGACTCCACCGACGCCTGCAGCGGTGCCAGCAATCCAGAAGTACCCGTTGTGAGGCCCGGTGCTATTGATCTCGGAGAGGCTCTCGGCTCCGAAAAGCTTTGAGTTCTCGTTGATACACTCGAGGAGCCGAACAGCGATCTCGCTCTCGTCGTGGCGGTGAGTAGGCGGGCGCTCGGCGTTGACGCGGCGAATGTGGCTGTGGAGCTTGGTGACAGTGATCCCACTGATGCCAATGTCGGCGCCGATGCTGATCTTTGCCCACGCCGCATCGTGCGCACGGACATCAGAGCGCTGCGGCTCCATGTCCCCAATACTGCCACGCCTGCTCCCCCTGCTGGAAGAAATTCTCGCGAAGGTGGAACTTGATGTCCTTGCAAGATATGTTCTTGACCAGGAGGGCGTAGGCCTGCTTGCGGCGGGTGCGGTACAGGGCCTGCATCTTCCGTGCGTGCTGCGCAGTGCCAGCAGGCAGAGCTGGAGCGCCGACGGCGGTTCCTCCCATGTCCGCACCAGCGAAGACATCCGCGACGCTGGAGCCGGATTCGTCGGTCCGCTCCTTACCTGGTTTTCACAAAAGGATCGTCGACTGAGCAGTCGTCCTGCATTTGCTGCCTCCAACCTCCTTCCTTTTTTGAGCAGGTGTGCCGCCGCGCGAGCGACGCTCCGAGATCGCCCGAGCGAGATAGCGCGGCGCGGCCCCGAGATCGTCCGAGATAGCGCGAGATCGCCCGAGATCGCGCGAGATCGCCCGAGATCGCGCGGCGCGGCCCGAGGCGAGGTGGATGGGTTGGGAGCGAGGGGGCGCAAGTGTGCAGTGCGGTAGATGGTCAGCTCGGGGCGCGTGAGCCGGACTTGTGAGCCGGACGGCTTTCATTTCTCTCTGCGTTCTCGCACATGCGACATGGAGTGCGAGGTATCTCGTCTGTCGCCGTCCCAAACTGTCACTCCCCTTTCTCACGGCCGGGGTGGGGCGCGCGCGGGGGCGGCGGGTGTGCGGGATGTCTGTGGGCCCGAGAGCGATATGCCATGTCCGCCTTGCGTTTGTGCTGCTTTAGGCTAAGCTCAAGAAAAAATAAAACACAACCGGAATCTTTACGTATCATCATGTGCCGGGTTCGAACGCCGCCGAAGGCAGGGAGGTGTTGGGCATGGCAACGCCGTCCATCGCCTTCGAAACGCTGCCCGACGAGCTCCTCCTGGCGGTGCTCTCCCACCTCGCTCCCATCGGCCTGTGCGCCGTCCGGGTGTGCGACAGCCGGCTCGTGGCGCTCGCGACCGACTCGAGCCTGTGGGAGACTTGCCACCGCCGACGCTGGGCGCGGCCGCCCCTCCCGCAGCAGCCGGCCGCGGGCTGGTTCGCGGACTTTGCGCGGCGCAGCTTGCAGGACGCCCGCGTCTTGCCGCTGCTGCGCGAGCTGCGCGAAGCCTCTCGCCGCGACTCGCCGGCTGCGCGGGACCGGATCTGGAGGGAGCTGATGGCGCCGGGCGTCGAGCTGTTTGACGTCGCGTGCTCGCTCACGTCGGACGGCGAGGAGGTCTCGCTGCACGAGGAGGCCGAGACGCTGCTGCGCGGCCTCAACCAGAACTCGGTCCGGATCGAGTTTGAGGCGCTGCTCCTCCGAGCCAGGCAGTGCGAGGCGGGGCTCGGGGAGGACCGCAACATCGCGGAGCTCCTGGAGGAGCGGGGCGGTCCCGCCGCGATCGGAGCCTCCGCGCGAGGCTCCGACCACC